CTGATTCTTTTAACTCGGTTTCTAACTGGGAAATCCTCTCCTTTAAGGCAGCATTTAGTAGTTGCTGGGCTTCAAGCTCTGCTTCATGTTTTGTGTGAATCCCAAGACTGACTTCAGTTACTTCTGTTGCAATGGATCTGGTTTCTACTCGGTCTGTGTGCACAGATTTGTTTTCTTTTGAGTTTTTAGATAAAGTCATTTTCATATCAATATCAGTTTTAATAGTCTTAGTAGTATTTTCGTGCAATAGACCATGCCCTTTTTCTTGCCATGAAAGCATATGTCCTCCTTTGATGGTTCTTTCCAATGCCTGCATCTCTTCAGTGAGTTCCCTGAACTCTCTAAAATCAGTATAAACATTTTCATTGGTGCCTTTGGACTCTGCTTCTGTGTGCCGTTTATTCTCAAAGTCAATCCCGTCTTCTCCAAGACATGTTCTCCAGGTCATGTCATTTATACTCTTGCTGTCACTCAGCTGAGAGACCAACTGCCTCTTTTCTTCCTGAAGGACAGATATTTTGACTTGAAGAATAGGAATGATTTTCACCTGCTCCTCCAACTCCTTTAGCTTTTTTAGAGCTACCACCATCTGATCACGGACATGTTGTAGGTGCATAGACCCAAGGCTTGTAACTGGAGTACTTCTGCCAGAACTCTGTGGGCTCAACTTCAGGCACCCGGTGCTGCCTCTGCTTCCAAGGGATGAGGTAAGGTGGGCACTCATATCGTCATCAGGCTTGTTGCCATTGTTGTTCTGATTATATGCACCCATGCCTGTGAAGGGTGAGTGTGACCCAGAAGGGCTTATGCCTCCAAAGCTAGCTAGTCGGCGACGGGGAAGGGGTTGAGGTGGAGACTGGCTTATGTGTTTATGAGTCTCCAAGACTGACTGTTCTACGCCAAGGCTTGGCCTTTGTGAAGCTGCATTTCTCTCAGTTTGTTGAGGTTTTGGTTCTGTGTGTCTCTGAGAGTTGCCTGGACCTTCACCCTTGGAACGTCTGTCATCCAGTAAGGAACTATGTGGCGGAGGTAACGGAGGTCGACCTTTCGCTGACGAAGACATGCCCAGTAATCTCGTGCCATCATTGCCAGGTAATGACAGTGACTCAGCAGAATGCACTGGGCCACTTGAAGCTCCACTCTGTGATTTTTCCACGTCGTTGAGAACTCCTCTGGGCCTTCTTTTAAGGCTTAGGCGCTTCATAGTGATAATGTTCAGAAGCCACCCAAGTCCAACTGATAAATGGATTCAGTTCCCTGGTATTCAGGAATACAGTCTTCGCTCTTTTGACCTGTTGGGCCAAGAGTCAAGCTTTACTTCTCAGAAACATGTAAATGCATTTATAAAAACAAATAAAACTGAAGCAATCAGAGAAGGAACTCAAGTTTATGGGATAAACATCTTAGAAAACAGTACATACATCACATTTTTTATATTTGGTTCAAAATTTACTGAAAAGTACACTTTACAAAACAAAAATACAGCTTTGTCCTTACCTCAGCACGATGTGCTCCTCTATGCACATTGCTACTCAAGTCCAAAGCCTTCTTCCACCATGAACTGCTTTTGACCATAGTCTCCGTTAGCCTATCCCACCAGAGGAGGAGGGACACAGGAAGACTTTCCACTCACACAGGCGTTGTTTTGAGCAGCCATTCCTTTCCAAAATGCTGTGTCTCTCTACATAGACTGAATCCACTCTATAATTATTGTAAAAACTCTCCCTCTAAATGCACAGCTATTCTCTGTCGTGGCAAGTTTTGAAACCACAGACATCCTCAAATTATTTTAGACAGTGAGTAAACAAAAAGTAGAGCAACTACTTGAAACAATACATTTGCAACTTATTTCATTTGTATTTATTTAGTAAATGTTGCCTCAAACCAGAGGATTTCAAATCCTTGTAAGCTCAGAATACAAATCTGTAATGTAATACCTGAACACATATGAGACACACAGATATGTACAAATCATTCAGAAATGATTACGAACTGTAACACTTGAGATCAATAATAGAAAAGCAATAGTTACCTGGCACATTTTTCAGGGTATAATTGTTTTGAGCCATAATGTCCATTTACGTCCAATCCGACATCTGTGTGTAAATACTGTACAAAGAAAGAAACGGTACACACACTTTGCTTTACATCACAGTTATTAGTCCTTTCTCTCACTGCCTCACTTTTGTGTCCACTTTCTCTCTCCAAGCCCAGGTTCAATAACAGCTGACTGTACAATGCTTGCATAGAGGTAATGCAATACCTGGCTAGGCCACATGATAGCTAATTCTGCAAAACTCCTCTGAGGAGTAGGCTAAAGACTCATGGCACAACTTCCATATCAATTTCTCATCAGTAAGCAGCTGCTGTTCTCAGCATTTAGAGGACTTAAGGATGCCTCCCCATTTATGTGTATTGTTGCTTTAGTTCAAGACTTAGTCAAAAACTGCAAGGAATATAGTAACATTTCTAAAAATGTAAAACAAGGAATTAATGTGAATTAATTAATAGTAATAATAAGTGGGCATAGGGTTCATTGGGTGAGAGGTGTGGTACATAAATATTAGCAAGCATAACAAAAAGGCAAATACTGACAGAACCAGCCTTTGTGGTCGGGCAACAAGGTTTGTATTTCCTTTCATTTGTCATTTCTTTTGCATGCAAGTCTGTGTTCGTGTCTGCCATATGGTTTTCAAATTTCCCTTCAGAAATACTTGTCATCTAGAAAATCTTGCACAGAGAGTCTCTCCAAAACTCTCTGAGCAAGTTATAAAGGAAACACAATCGTATAACTTGAATATCTCTGGACTCTTTCGTGTCAGGCTTCCTACAGCCATCAACACTAAATGCTAAAATGATTAAATGTCCCAAATATATTTTTCATATTCAAGGGTGTGCGCAGAAGTGAGAACTGTGAATCAAAATGTTATATTTAGCTGAACCCCCCACCCCCCTACTACTAAGCTGTTATGATAAACTTTTTAAGATACATGTCAGTGTTTCAAAAAACGCTCTTCAGAGTAGTATTTTTTCTCTGCTAGTTGAGAAACTTTTTAAAGGAGCCTCCACTTCAGCCAGTGAAGGCAGAAGTCTAACAATAACGTTTGAAAGTATAATAAACCCTCTCTCTTGTAAGGTTATAAAGGATGAATACTGAATAAACCTGATGCCTTGTAGCCATTATGAACTACTAGCATGGTTAAGTTATGACAAACACACCAGGTTTACACCACGGATGGGCAACCACTTAAAACTTGAGTTCTCAGTGAAGCTTGGTACCTTTAAAACTCACCTGCGTAGCAGCAGGAGCACAGAACAGAAGCTCGCGGCTCATTAGTGTGATGCAGACCATAAAACTCTAGTTTTTAATTAACTCAATACTCGAGAAAAGTCAAACAGCGCCGTCAGTGTGCGGAGGCTACCCCTACGGTGTCGCATTTCGTCTTGTCACCGATGTTTTTGCCCATTAACCCTCACCTTAGCAAAGTTTTCTCCCCAACTGGTTAGGTCCGTCACTGCGCCTGCGCAGACGACAAGGCGCTGCTGGCAGGGAAGCATTTCATGTGACGAGCGATGGTCGTAGTGAAATATTCATCAGTTCTGTTCTCATCGTTGATTACAAAGCATGTGTTATCTTTATAGCTCTGTTGTGAGACGATGTGGTCATCTTTACGATGGGAAAATTAAAACTCCCGAAAATAAAATTCAATTCCATGTTAATCTTCTAGTCTGATTAGAAAATACATCGTTGATGACGCTCGTTTGTCAGATTAAGAGCACCTTGGAAGATAACAATTATTAAACAGGTATTAAGCATATTTTAAATCAAGGTGCAGAGTTTTCATTTGTGTAAAAATAAACGAATGTGTTTTTATTAGCTGTAAGAAAACGATCGATTTTTTTTTTAAATTAATAGTTTGAACGCACCAGTCTGACTAATTAATATAAGGTGTGTTTCCTTTCGTGAATTGAATGACTAAACTCAAAGGACTTTTAAATATTATTGAAATTTACTGAAGTGCCCAGCGTAAACAAGTAAATAAACAACAACAGCAATAATAATAATTATAATAATTATAGTAGTATATAGTATATCATATAAATATTATTTTTTTATTTATTTACACCCCATTTATTCACCTGTAGCACAGTTACGTTCCACGATGAACAGCGACATCGTGTGGACAAGTTTTGGAAATACAACTATAGAAGGTTTTTAGCATGTAAGTATGGCGTTTTGTTGTTGTTGTTTTTTTCTTCAAATTGCTAATTTTACCAGCTTTAAAATTTATCCTGCTTTTATTTTTCTTTTTTTTAAGATTGATTTACATTTATTTATTTTGCTTGTTAAATGTATTAAAATCCCATCTACACATTCACTTTCAACTAGATCCTGAAAAGACCAGTCATTCATTACCTCATGGTAGCGTTTCTGAGGTCGTCTTTAGTTCAAAGTTCAATGTAAGTTTTGTGTTGTGAAGCAGATTCCCAGTCTGCTTTGTGATAAGACTTATACCCGAATAATCTTATGATCTATGCAAATGACATACTCTTGCTCCATTTTATCTATTCATTGCGAATAGACGGTTCAGTAAGCCGATAATCTGCACACAGAGAAACCATTCTTACCCAAATGCACCTCGAACTTTAGACTTTTTCGGGATCATGCTGTGAAAAGCAACATTAAGCAGTTTGCAAGGATGATTGAGAAAAGTGCTGACTTTGGGATGCCTGTGGGTATGCATTCAGTTACTGTCAAAATATATCACTTCAACTTAAATAGTTTGAATCTAAATGTATACTATATTGGCAAAACACTTTTTTAACTGTTCAATATCTGCAAGAGCTGCTTAAAAAAACAACAACAACAAAAAAACACGTCCACTATCTTTGGACTTTGCTCTTTCAGACACACAGTCACAGTGTTGACGAAATCAACACTGTGACTGGCTGGAAGATCTGCACGCCCCTCTAACATCTTCTATCTTTGCTCTAGAGTCCACTTTTAACGCTGGACACACTCTTTCCTCGGCTCCTTTCAGCATTAGGTCCCAGGAAGCCAACAGGATGTCCGATAGAGGAGCTTTTGACACCAACGTGGTGACCCTCACCAGGTTTGTACTGGAGGAAGGCAGGAAGGCCCAAGGAACGGGAGAGCTGACAACCCTCCTGAACTCCATCTGCACAGCTGTCAAAGCTATTTCCTCTGCAGTCAGGAAGGCTGGGATTGCTAACCTGTGAGTAGCACTCAATATTTTATTCAAAGCAATAAAGTATTGCAAAAATGTGCATTCATTTCTCATAAACTCTTACAGTTTTGCAATATAAATTGCAGTTATCTGTCCAATGAACCAATTTTAGTCAATATGAGAGCATATTTAGACATTGTTTTAGTTTTCCCTGATAGGAGGTTCAACATGAAAATCAGCATGCGGTGTACCTTTGGTCAGGGGACGAGTTCAAACTCTAAACATGCTGTACACAACCACTGAGTCCAGAGGTTGAGGACATAATGGACCAGCTTAACTCGTTACTGCAGAATATTTTTGTTTTTGCTTCGTTTCCATCATTACATCACAATCAATCAAAAAGTCAATCAATCAAAATTCAGCTTTCGCTGTAAAGATAACGCCTTTTTCCTCCGTGTGCAGATATGGGATCGCTGGAAGCACCAACGTGACGGGCGACCAGGTGAAGAAGTTGGACGTCCTGTCCAACGACCTGGTGATCAACATGATCAAGTCGTCCTTCACCTCCTGCGTCCTGGTCTCGGAGGAAGATGAGAAAGCCATCATAGTGGAGCCAGATAAGAGAGTATGCGTGCAGTTATTATGTTTGTCAGAAGATTTCTTTTACCTCCTCTTAATAATGATAATAACAGTTTTTCCTGTCTTTATGAAGGGAAAGTACATCGTCTGCTTTGACCCACTGGATGGATCTTCCAACATCGACTGTCTTGTCTCCATTGGGACAATCTTTGCCATCTACAGAAAGGTGAGTGACTCTGTTTAATTAGAAATTCGTGGAAATACATTACGTCATTATAGTTTGCAAAAAGATGCACAAAAAATGCAGTTGCGGGTCTTTTTTAAAAGACATGTTTTAGACACGCTTGCATCTAAAAACAGCAATCGATGCTTGCACACAGCCGGAACACATGGACCCTCCAAATACTGTTTGTTGTCTTCTAGCGCCTCCTTGTGGTAGAATAAGGTAAACAGTTCAGTTATTGCTGTTATTCTTTCCCAAAGAACTATAAAACCATCGACATACAGTAAATATTACAACCTCAAACATCAGTGAGGATCATTGGCATTTTTTAACTGACAGGTCAACACAAACTGGTGCACAACTGTGAGGCGAAAAGAAAATTATATTGCTTATTCATTTAGAATTGCCTTTAGACGTCATCTTGTCCAGCAGTCCTGCTGTGTGTAATTTTATCTCGGTATAAATGTTACCATTCTGTGAAGCCAGGCCTCGGAGATTTGATGGAGAACATTTGTGAACACTAATAGACTGCTTGCTAATTCAGTGACTTCTTACGGCAAACTGGATTTTTAAGGGCCATTAAAGAAAAGGGGAGAGAATACAAATGCATGCAACGCTTATCCGATTTTTATATGTAAAAAAAAATGAAAACCATATGGAAATAAGAAAAAAAAAACATGAATGCATTGAAGATATTGATGTCTTTTCGCCTACATGTAACATAGATTTCATCATTCACCTGTAGAATATTGCTATTTCTTGGGAGTATATGATGTTATGGGAATGTTAAACAATTCAGTTTAGGACTTCATAGCCTTGTGCTGTGTCATTTCATTAACAGTAGTGACCCACTTGTTGCCTTGTAGAGTTTGAGTCAAATAAAAAAGAAAAATAACTGAAGCTGGATGAAAACAAAAACAAATGGTCATTTAAACAGATTTTATGTTCTTTTTTTCTTGTTCACTATGCGGTAAATTTTCATATAAAGTCCATTTATAGCCCCAGGAACAAAACGGTTCACATGCTTTTCTAACTCTTATGTCTGTTTATGGTCCTGATTAACAATTATAGATATCCTAAGAGCACAAAATGCAGATAAATATGTTCTTATTACTTTGTAGTGCTAACTAACAGTGTCACGGAGGATGTTACTTAGCTAATTCCACTGATTTTCGAACCTGAAACTCGATTAATTTGGGTTTGATGTGTTGTTTCACAGATCTATGTTTTGACTTAACAGGTAATTAAAACACAGAATTAAATGAAGTACATAACAGCAACATAACTGTGGCGATTTTACACACAAGGTTGACGGAGCCTTCAGTTTATAGGAATGAGGCTTGACTACCTAACTTGAAACTAATGATTTTACATCCCGTCAGCCTTTGAAATTTGCCTCGGAAAAATGAAACGAAAGCCGAAACTTGCAGAAATGTCCAGAACAACAAACGTGTTCACTAAGTTGTGTTGGTTTTCCCACGTCTCGACTCCATTTTCTGAAAATTACCCCCCATTTTCCACAGACCACAGCTGGCGAGCCATGTGAGCAAGACGCCCTGCAGCCCGGCAGAAACATCGTAGCAGCTGGTTACGCTCTGTACGGCAGCGCCACCATGATGGTCATCTCCAGTGGGCAGGGCGTGAACGGCTTCATGCTGGACCCCGTAAGACCGGAGATTTTACCACTTCCTTGCTGTTCCTCAACTTCCTCCGGCTTGGACAAAGATTGGACGATTGCATCCAACGCTAAAACGTTATTTTTAACAATGCTTCTCTCCAGGCAATCGGCGAGTTCATTTTGGTAGACCGAGACGTGAAGATCAAGAAGAAGGGTAAAATCTACAGTTTGAACGAAGGGTATGCACAGCATTTTTATCCGGACGTGACGGAGTACCTTCACAAGAAGAAACACCCAGAGGTAAAGCCAATGCAAGCACAGCACACCCAATGAGACTCTGGTAATCATAAACCGATGAGATATATTTATATTTGTAACGTATACAAAGTTTGAACTCTGTGAATCTTGTATCCAGGACAGTTCTGCACCGTACGGCAGCAGATATATTGGCTCGATGGTGGCAGATGTTCATCGAACGCTGGTGTACGGCGGGATCTTCTTATACCCTGCCAACGTCAAGAGTCCAAAGGGCAAGGTGAGGAATCAGAGACTATGACAGCAAAACAATCTTCTTCGGGTAATCCTTGTTAAATCTATTTAAAAACCCAAGCAAAACCAATCGTCTCGTCTTGTTCGGTCAGCTGAGGCTGCTGTATGAATGCAACCCCATGGCCTTCATCATGGAGCAGGCAGGAGGCAAGGCCACCACTGGGTCAGAGAACGTTCTGGACATCCAGCCCACCAACATCCACCAGAGAGTCCCTGTCGTCTTGGGATCCCCCGACGATGTGGAAGAGTATCTTTCCATCTACAAGAAGCATAACAAATGAGGTACTCACTCCTTTACTAACTCATAAAACCACAGAGCAGACATCAACGAGAACACCGTCACGTTGCTCAAATTTCTTTGCCTCTCTGTTCTTTGTCAGGTTCCCTCCAGTGGTCGTAACTCATGTCAAGGCTGATAAAAAAAACAACCAAGATGCAAAACATCTGTTTTGTTATTACCCAATCACTGGGCTGCACTGATAAAGAAACCAAACCCTTCCCTCTGGTGTTGCAGTTTGCTGTTCTCAGAAAAGCTACCCTGTATTTTTTAAATAAAACAATCACGTATCACCGAGTTTCCTATGCGTAGCTTCTTTGTACTGAACGTTGTGTAACGACAAGTTATCCGTTTACAGTCCCTTCAATCCGTCCTAACAGAATACATTCAAATTTGTAGTTGTACTGTGAATAAATGTGAAAAAATTCAAGCTGTAAGAATACGCCTGTAAGTCACTGTATGTTTGAGAACACTCAGATTTTTGTTGAGGGAAAAACAAATGTTAATGCATGTTTACATACCGTAAAAAAAAAAAAAACAAGAAAAAAACAACAGGTACTTGAAAATGTGGTTTGGTGATCGTCACAGGGAAAGATCTGCTCCTCTCCACAGAAGTGAACACTAATTTTCTCCGACATAAACCTGTTGTTGTGCTATGATGTAAAATAAATATGGTCTCACAAAATTCTTGCAGCAAAAAATGCAATTTGTATGAAATTTGTATAAAAATATGTATGATATACCTCAACTTTTTGCCTGTGGGGAAAGAGTCCGGTGATGGATAGGTAGTATTTGGAGATGTCAGTCATAATGTTTTTCATAACTCAAAATCAAAAAAACTTTTTTTTTGTCAACAAAATAGTAGAACACTTATTTATGCTACGACAACAAATTTGTTTTCTTTGTTTATCTTCTTTTTTCTTCATTAAAAACTAACATCTGAACTACATCTCATCACTCTAATGGCAGATATAGAACAATTTGTGCAGATGAATCAAAATTCTGACATGAGATAATCCACATAAATACCAAAATAAAACCTTAATGTTTTTATTTTTCAAACTAAAGTTTTACATTTCTGTGGCATGAGTTCTATATATATATATATATATATATATATATATATATATATATATATATATATATATATATATATATATATATATATATATATATATATTTCCAGCTTCACACTTCCCACCACTAATGACTTTGAGAAACTAGAAACAGAGCCCGATGAGCTCTTGAAAATAAAAACATTTCCGAGCCGTTGCCATGAGACCGATGATGAGTCATAAAAGACCTACCCGGATAAACAACAACACAAAACTCAGTGTTGACTCAAAAGACCCCTTTAATCAATCGAGCTGATTTATGGAGTGTAGAACAACAAAGCCTACAGATGCAGACTTTGCTGTGCAGCATGCTGCACTTTTAGCTTCCAAAAATAGGGGGAAAAAAAAAATCCATCTGATAGGTTTTTTCCACATAAAACACATTAATGACTGGAAATTACACCGAAATGCAAAAACAACCTAATCCTTCTTTTTATTCCTCTGGTGACATTAAGCAGAATGACTCATGTGGGAGTTTGTCAGTTGAACATACATGTCCACTGTTAATTGGAGACAGGAAGCTGCACAGCTCTGAAAGAACCATGTGTTTATGGAGACACGCAGACTACAGAATAATTAATGCAGCTCCAGTGAAAGAAGTCCTTTTTTTTTTCCCTCCCTCTGCCCCCTTCCATTGAAAACGAAGCCACTTCCATTTTTTTATTTCTTTTTTTCAATCATCTTTGTCAGTGTCAGCGCTTTGGAGCTGCATCGCCCAGGAGACGCACACACGCACACGCACACACACACACACACACACGGACTGACACTGACATTTCAGACACCCTTGTTTATTTCAATTTCCCTCAGACTCTGTATGATTATAGGGTGTGGAGTCAATATTTATATTTACAAGAGAAGCGAAAGACAAGTTTGCTTTTCCCTTGCTACTGACTGTGGCCTGCTTGCGTGTGCTTTTATGTCACGGAGCATGAAGAATAATCACCTGATTGTGTTTTTTTAGGGGGAAAAATGAAATAAATCTAAAGCCTTGATTTAGACTTCAACTCCAATAGGGCTTTTATTAAATATAAATCAGTTATTTACACATGATCAAGCGTAAAAATTAGGACATATGAAGAAATGACCACAAATTGATGGCTTGTCATTTTTTTAAGTCTGAAGAGTCAAGTGATTTAACTGCATGTAAAAGAAAAACAAAAAATAACGTCATTTTACTCAGTAAAACTTTAGTTGAAATAACTTCAGCCGTACTGACCGAAACAGAAAACAGCTCAGTCTCATTTAATGTTGGATAATTAGAAAAATATGTTTTTTTTTCCTCTTTATGTATAAGAGAAAGTATCTGGTTTGAATATAGATGCGTCTATAAAAACGTCGAGTCGAGTCGAGTCGGGTTTGTTTGAACAGAACATTTCAGCAACAGTTCAAAGTGAATTACACGACTGGGAACATAATGCAATAACCAATTACGTTGAGAACACCAAACAATCAACAAACAGCACAACAAAATCACCAAGAGTCACCGTCACAATATTTAAACCAAGACTCGAGTTGGCCAGTGTTTCAGCTGTTAGCATCTTATTTCATTATTTTCTTTGGAGTTTTCTGGTAGCTTTGTGTGCAATAACTTTACTGTAATTGCAAATTTCCCGGTGAATCTCGCCAAAGCAACACTGGCCCCGGTCAGCGTCATGTCAGTACCTGTCATTTCACTTCGTATTCCCATACTGTCTGACTGATGCTCAGCCCGTGTCCCAACAGGCTCTGTTTGCTTTACACTCTGATGAAGAGCGTAACGGAGGAGCGTCTGTGCCGTGTCTGCAAGGCTGACGGCGTCCCTCTGCAACACCAGCAGCCAATACCACCGTTCTTCTCTCTCTCTCTCTCTCTCTCTTTTTTTTTGTTACTTGACACTCAGTAGTGATGATGCCAAAATATAATATGTCTGCAAGTAGGAACCAACAAAACGACAATGTTCTAAAACAAAGCACGCGACTTTAGACGCTGCTCAGTGTTCTGACCCTTCCAAAAGCTCATCCTTTCTAAATATTTACAAAGACTAATCTTTTCCCTCATTTTGCAATGTTTGAGCCTTCAGAGTCTTTTGCTGGGATTTGTAATGAACTACCACAGGAAGTCCTCATTGAAAAGTGGGGGGGAAAAAAACAACTGGTTTGAAGGGAAGTGATGCAAAGACATTCACAAGGTTTTACAAAATAAAAACCTTCATAGTCACTGGGGTGACTGATTAGTGAAAAGTCAACTTTTAAATCTCATCTATTTTTTTTTTTTTTTGTAATGAATGCCTCAGAGATTTGTTAGAGGAAATTACTGAAGAAACACATGAAAATGGACAGCAGACAGATCAGAAAGAAAAAAAACGTTCAAATCCATGTCAGGCAACAAAATAGTGACCTGATCTAATCTCATGAAACACTAAGGGTCAAACAAAACCAAAACTGAACTTTTTTTTTCCTGCATGTAAACCAGACAGTAGTGGCAGCATCATGCTGTGAAGGCAATGCTTCACAAGTCCTGAGATGACGACCTTTTGAGCGAAGTTTCTCTGACCTAGTCAAAGTCGAAAATGAAATCCAATTGAGAATTTGTGGCAAGTTTTTGAAAACTTCTGCTTCTGACGCTCTCCATCCAAACCTACTGAACTTTAGCTCTTTACGATGAAGAACGCACGCTGCTTTCTGTATCTCTTTGTCTGGTTGGAAAGAGCAGCGCTGACTAATTTTCACCTAAACATTCGTTCTCTGCGGCCTCTTCAGAAACCCGCCTAGCTCTCGTGTCAATAACTCTGTTTTCTTAAGTTACTCATCTGAAGCGAACGTTATGATTCTGCATTTTAGATCTGGTTTTCTTTTGTTTGACAGAGCCGCACCGTGACACAACACAGACCCTGAAACCTTTTATTTGACTAAGACGTAAACTCTGGTCCTCCCGGACCACCCAGACGCCGAGCTAACTGCTAATCTAAATATTTCCGTAACCTTTCAGCCAGAAAGTATCCACGTCTGTACCTGTTGTCACATAACTCGTCTTTATGGCAGAAAAATACATCGGGGAAACGAGAAAATCGGGAAAAAAAAAAGACACGATCCTATTAAGTATTTTGACAAAAGACAATCCATGTTTGAATGCAGCGTGATGTCAGTGTCTCATACTTGAACCCAAACTGGTGGATTTGTTTGATCCGACTGAGAAGGAATTTCAAATATTTCGAAATGCTTACGTTAAATCTCCACGCGCGTCCAAAAATCTGGACGTAAATCTGTCTTGCACTGAGAATATGTAGAGCGGTTTCCTGCTCCCACATGACCTTTATCATGAAAAAACTCAACGTGAGATGACATTTGAATGTTTTCTTGAAGACTGGGATTCAGCAAGAAATGAAAAGCTGAGACTGTATGTTTCTTTTTATACGAAAATGATTTTTTTTTAAGCTACACTTTCAAGCTCCAAGTTGTCACTTTTCTGTTTCTGTTGACTTCATTGTCAAAATTGAACTAATTCAGTTTTAGTAACTCTTTTCCTTTCCTTTCCCATGCCCTTTAAAAAAAAAAACACATTTATCTCCCCAAACTGCCGCCCACTGCCTGCCAGCATGAACTTCAGCTCTGAGACTCGCTGTCCCTGTCGCAGCCAGAGCTTTGGCCTGAGGCAGCACATGTTTGGATAAATGCATATATGTGGTTACCATCTCTGAAGACAGGCTAGCCATTAAACTACAGGCTTCTCCCATGTCAACTAAAATATGGGATATCAAATGATGCTCTTCGATATGTTTTACTTATTTATGGTTGGATTTCGTTTTTTCTTTTTAAAGAGTGTTGTATCGGGGTCAACACTCTGAGTAATGAGTTTTGTGAATTACTTACGGCACCGTCCTTTTTGAACATGTCTGCTGCACGGTGTTTTTTTTTTTTTTTGGTAACACATATTTCCTATTTAAAATGCCAAGTAGTGTTACTCTGGAAAATATCAGGGAAAGCATCATACAGCGATCCATCTGCATGTGGAGATGCTGACTAACAGACAAATGAGTCAACGCTGAGCCTCAGGTATACGGTGTGAGGGGTTCCTCACAGCTCAGCTTTAGGCCTGAAAGTGTTTAAGATGTAAATCATTGAGCATCAAATGAATTCACATTTGTTTTGTTGGACGATTACGACTGTTTGCTTTTTTTGTTCTGGGATGGATTTGCAGCTGGTTTTGGAGGCGACCACAGAGGAGAGGCATTAAATAAATAAACATTTTGATACGAATGAACTTATCAAACTTGGATAAAACCAAATTTGTGTCATTTGAACGACAAAGCAAAAAATACAAAAGCAAAAATCTGCAATGATAATGTAAATCTTGAAAAGATACTAAAACTTCTTGGTGCGACGTTGGACCCCTAAATCTGCTGTAAACCTATTCGTTAGTGTTAGAACGGAAAATTAAAAACGTAAGCCAGTACAAAAGATGAAGCACATATTTAAAATAGACAGAAATGCTCAAAAAATAATATACGCGAGTCCTTTTGTTTGTCTTTATTTGTTATTGGGATTAAACATAACATATTGATGAGTTTCTTGGTTCGGTTTTGCTTTTCTTTATTAGAAGCTGTTGCGATTCAGGCACATCTCGTCTTGTGAAAGAAATAATGTCGTTCCGTTTTTTTCTTCAAATGAAAACACAAAGTCATGAAAACGCGATTCCCAAACAGAAACATTTGGGAACTCTGGTCCAATATTTCTGTTTGCTTTTCAGAAAAAAGCTAATATGAGTTGCTGCTAGTTTCTGAGCGAAGCTAAACCTAAACAGGATCTTGTTCAACTTGTCCACAGTATTCGTTTTAGTTCTTCTGGTTCCCGTCCAGGCTAAGATGTTTTAATGTTCGCAGCAGCCATATCCATTTCCCCGGAAGAACCGCTCTTAGTTTTACAAGTCACAAAACGACTTGTAAGCGAAAAGAGCAACAGAAACAAACAACAACAAAAAAATTAGAGCAGCTTGATTAGGCCTGTTTCTGATTAAAGCGCTTACAAATCACGAGAAGCCCTGAAACATATACTGCCCCCTCTTTCTGTTCGGCTCTCGGATGTTGGGCGGTAATTTTCTTTCTCCGAGCTGTGAACAAAGGCTTCTCTGTGTTGACATGCATGCGGTGACATATCCGTCCCTGAGCAGTCATTTCTTCTTGAAAGGATAAGTGTCTGACGAGGAGAGTTCATGTTTCAAACGAAACTAAAATTACCGTCTGCGTTTGAGGTCCTGCTTCTTCAGCGCTGCTGCAGCTTCCCTCCTTCTGTACCCTCAGACTCGGTGGGATTCCTCATTATCTGTCACACTGTGAACATACATTTGGAGGAACACGCCAGCTGTTATCTTATCATTAAACATCCAGACATGTTTTATTGCTGCAGGTTGAGCAGACTCTACTGCACTTTTCCTTCATCCGCCGCCATTAACCACTCAAATTAGTGACGACCAGAAGAAAAATATTTCATATTATTTAGAGCTTCTGAAAACAAGTTGAGGAAAAAGAAAGCATTTTATTCCCATTCTCTCCTTATATCCAGTTTATCAAAGTAAAAGTTGTTTTCCGTTGCAAAGGGGATCCTCATAGACTCAGAACCTGTTTATCACAATCAAACATCTCTAGTGTGGTAAAGACATGGATTGTGCTGGAAGCTGAACTGTTTGATAGAAAAGTGGGCAGCTTCGGTGAGAGCCGTGGCGAAGTGTCCAAAGTTTAAACTTAAACATGACAAACAGCGACTTACCGCGGCGTGTTGTAAGTTTATCATGGGATTTGTTTAATTGAGTGAATAAACTGAGCTGAACAAGTGAGACGTGGATAGATTAGTTCAGACATTTGTGCCACTTTGTGCCCTCGCTGTAAATTATTAACAAGCTCAGGAGGGTTTCTAAACTCAGACCAAAGCTTCAGGAAAACCTTCCAGCAAGTGGAAAATGTCCTTTTTGAACTGGATGCCCTCATTTGAGACACGCAGTATCTACCGCTTGAAACAACTGGGTACAAACCAGCTTCCGAAATGAAAATGGCACAACCAAGACAACAAAAGAGCGGCTTCAGAAGCAATCTGTCAATGTCAATTATTGGACCAATGCAACTGAACATTTTTGGAAAGAACTAAAAATATTTGTCTACCAACGCTGCTCATCCAGTCTTCCATGAAATTGAGAAGATCTGGAGAGAAGAATGATGGGAAATGCTCCCAAAAATGGCATAGCAAGCTAGTTTAGCAGGGTTTCCCCCCCAGTACACTATATAAGCCTGGCGGGCTGCCAGACTTTACTTGCACCCCTACCAGGCTAAGCATTGTTTACTGATTTTATGTCTGTCAACATTAAACTTTTTTTTAAACTCAGAAACACGATAGGCCGCAAGCCCTATAGCGCCCCCTACCGCTGGACTTAGCAGGTTTTCTGTAATTGATGCCAGAGGCAAAAACTGCTAAAAACATTGTCATTATGAGGCAGAGTTCTTCGGGATAAAACTAACATAACGAATTTAGGGATAAAACAGTAACGTAGAATGCAAAACTGGTGAAGAGCTGCTGTCAATTACTGCAACAAAAAATGACATCATGTGCTGCTAAAATGTTTGTTCGTGCAACTGTCATAAAATCCCCGCCCCCCCCCCCAAAAAAACAACAAAAAAAAAACCTGGTTTTCAAAGCTATGAACCACATGTTGCAATCTGTCACTGGAAGCATTTCTCTGAGCGCTAAGCACCCGGTACACATGCAGACGATGACGCTCTGGTAATTGTTTCTGTACCTGCGCAGAAGAACAAAAGGTTAAAGGTTCTTTTTTTTTTTTCCAGAAAATTTCCCATCAACAACTTTCCTTCTCACTGACGGAGTAAAACTGACACGTGAGCAGTTTCGATTGCCAAAATAAAATGAAGAAAACAAAAAAAAAATAAATAAATAAAAAAGTCTGCAAAAAAAAAAAAGGGAAATTCCTGGCAGCTCTTTATTACTGCCTTCTCGCCCCCCACCCCTCCTCTCCCTCTGCCTGTTTCCAGGCTTTGGAGGCTGTTTAATACAAAGCTCAGCGCATTGTTCTGGCAGGGCAGCTTTGTGTATAATGACATCTGACAGCGGTGGAGACGAACTGAAGAGCACGTCTGTCTCTCTATAAGTATTTACAAAATCTAACTCTGGGGAACCGCATTCCATTTCTGGAAACGCCATCGAGAGCGAGTCGCCGTGAACAACCACATGGATCTAACTATTACTTTGAAATGCATAGAAAAAAAGGAGGGGGGGTGCCCTAGCCCCCCCCCCCCCCCGCCCCTCTAAAATTGGAACAATTTGTAAATGGGTGGTGTAGAAGTGAAGAATGTAAATGAGAACTGGTCTAAGAGGTACAGTTACAGGGAGCGCTCCATTAGAGCCGCTGGCTCCACTCAATCTGGCTGTTGTTCTTGTTTGGCTGCCGTCCAACACTAGAGGGATTTGGGCTCTGCTGTGCTTTATAAACTCAGCCTTAAAAGTAAAACGTACGTATGTTAAGGCCGGGTGTGTTCAGTTTTTTCTTCTTTCTTTCTTTCTTTCTTTCTTTCTTTCTTTCTTTCTTTCTTTCTTTCTTTCTTTCTTTCTTTCTGGATCATAGTGAAAGTCTCTCTCAAAAGCAGAGATTTGAGGCCAAGCTTTTAACAGTGAGCAGAAACGCTCGACCGTTTCGACATTTAGGCCTTCACGATTTTCAACTTTGATGTTTCAAATGAAGTCTGAAGTAACTTTGTTGTAATGGAATGCCAGCTGGATGAGGCAGAGAGAGGAGAGGGAGGGAGGGGGGTTTGGATGGTAAGGTTAGGAAAACTCCTCGGCTCTTGTTTTGACTCCTCTCTAATCTCTCTAATTGGTATTTGGGGTCCAGAGACCCCTGAGAGCTGCCGGATCTTTTGAAGTAAAAGTTTGGTGATGTGACAGGGTCAGAAGAAAAAGGCTCTTTGCGAATCACTGGACGGGGTTTGTTTCTTGTGCTCCGTCCTGCTGCTGTCGGCCTCAGGACCCAAACCGGTCCAAGCAGGCTTCACCTACAGCGCCGCTAACCTGGGAGATTGTTCACACAGCATCCTTTGGTTGTTCTTTTCACAAATCCTCGGGGTTGGAGCTCTAATTGAGACGGAGGAAATACCCTTCAGCAAATCCTGGAGGCGCTTCTGCGTGTTTTCGCTTGTTCAAAATGGGCAGTAAAGGAAACGGTTGTAGAAAGACACAACCCCCCCCACCCCCCTCCAAGCTCTCATGAAATCTGCAACAATGACGTTTATTACATTGCTGTGTCACCAACTTACCATAGTCCACCATTGAATATGCAACAACGTTCACATTAGGTAGAAATAATTGTTTTTGTTCCTATAAATGCAAATTTGACTCATTTAGGCTGAAGACAGCAAATAATGAAAAGGGAAAAGTCAGAGTTACCAAGTTTTCTATCTATCTATCTATCTATCTATCTATCTATCTATCTATCTATCTATCTATCTATCTATCTATCTATCTATCTATCTCAGTCAGTGTGCGTAACTTGCGTCACAGACCATAATAGGTGACGACTGACTCGCAGTAGTTCGCAGCGGACCAATCAGCCGCTGTTGTTCCTGAACGAAGTCATGCTGTAGCTGCAATTCCCGCATTACCCAGATACTTGGAGGCTGGAGCTAATGTGTGTCAGCGGATCGTCTCTGGAAAGTAAAACTCGAGATAAGTGTTCCGGCGGAATCGTCTTGCTGAGCTTTACCCAGACTTTTTTTTTCTTTCTTCGTCCACAGCGTACTCTTCTTCTTCTTCTTCTTTTTTTTTTAACTGAACCGAAACTAAGGATATGCTTCAACTTTGAAAGTTTCCCAACCTGAAATATGGTTCTAACTGTGCAGCTTTGCACGTTAAGCCACCGTCTGTGACGGGATGAGAAGCGATCCGCCTTATTCTGGGTAGACTTTACGGTGGAGACGTTCCCATGAAGTCAGTTTTACACGCTTGGGTGAAATTAAGTTGTTGCCATCATTAATGGAGCGGGTTCTACTTCTGATATGCTGCGAGTTGATCATAGCCATCGGTTCTTGTGGTGGATCTCCGAACCATAACCATCGCCCCGTGTGCTGGAAAGCCATCCTCAGATGTCAGGGAGAAGCTGAGTGCCGTTACGCGTACGACCAGTACCTGCACGCCTGCGCGTCCGTCATCAGCGGCGTGCGCAGGAAGTGTCCCAGCCACTGCATCTCATCTCTCATCCAGCTCAACCTGACCCGGCACGGCCCGGACCTGGAGGACTGCGACTGCGCCGCGGACCCGGTGTGCCGGAGCACCCAGCGAGCCATCGACCCGTGCATGCCGCGGACCAGCACCATGGGCTGCACCGAGGCGCGGCTACAGTGCGAGACGGACCCGGCGTGCAGCTCGGCGATGGCGGACTACCTGTTCCACTGCCGGAAGCTTTTCGGGGGCCAGAGGTGCTCGGAGAGCTGCCGCAAAATGATCGCCAAAATGCGCTCCATGCCGAGGGCGCAGCAGCTCGACGCCTGCGTCTGCGACGGCACCGACAGGAACATCTGCGAGTACATCAAGCTGAGCATGAAGACTCTGTGCGCGGAGTCCGGCGACAGGTTCGCGGGCAGCGGATTCGGAGACTCCGAGGAGGACACGAAGGAAGATGATATTTACCAGTATTATTATGTGGAGAACTCCGGCAGCTCTCCAACTTATCAAACACATCTGAAAACTTTGACCTTCATGGTGGCTGTCGCAGGATTCATCTGAAGGACTGTTATCAACAGTTATTATTATTATTATTATTATTATTATTATTATTATTATTATTATTATGTGGTAAAAGGACATTCGACCAGGGCCAGTCCAAGGAATATGGGGGCCCTGAGCAGAACTCCATTTGGGATCCCCACTTGCAGCTAACCCCATATACCCTAGAGAGCTAGGGAGGAAGGCAGAGTTTATAGTTAAAGGGGTAAAGGTCACCGAAATGCAACTCCAGTTCAGACACATTCAGGGAAAAAAATTTTTTTGCATTAAATATGACCCAGTTAATGGTACTTTTAAGCTATGAAGGTTATCATTTGGAATGCAGAAATGTTGTTCATACAGTCGAATCAGATTTTAAAAGTTGAGAAAATTCGTGGTTTTGTGTTGCTAACAGTAGTTAGCACCAAAACTAGTAGCAATTTCAATTTAGCATACTCCCAGTGTTACTTTACAAAGGGTGATAAAGGCATCATATTCTGTGCAATAAGAACATTTTCCTAAAAACTACTAAACTCAGCAGCAGTTTATTCTATATTTTTGACTAAAATCTAATTGTAAGATTGAAAATAGTAATAAAGAAATGCCACAGGTGAAATTGTTAAATGTGTAATAAGCAGGATGCTAAATTATTTTTGCAGCAGCTGAAATAATAATTGCTTTTCTGCTTTAAATAAAAGTGATATCTTGTACATTTTGTTTTAAGACAAAATGTACATGTGTTTTTTTTTTCAGAGTAAAGTCCAATTCTCTTAGGACCTCCAGACCAGCAGAGGGCCCTAGGCGGTCAAAACCGTTTGCTTGTACTTTGGGCTGTCTCTGAAATATCATCTGAAAATTAGACTTAAGAAAATTTTTTATGCTAGCGTGTTAAACTGCACACTTTACATCAGTGTATATTTTGTTGAAACAACACGATATCATAAAAAAAGTTTTTATAAGAGTTTTTATATATATATATATATATACAAAAATATATGAACGAGTTGCACTGTATGACCAGGTGAGCCCCACCTTTGTACAGCCGTGTGTGTTTCACAGATGAAGAAAGTTTGTGTTGTCTCTATGTGCCTGAAGTTCCAGAGTAAGCCGTCACTTCCCTTTGAGAGAAACCAAAGTTCATTTAAGCCACTTAAATGAGTTTTAACCCCAGGGCAGATTCTGACATCGGCTGTAGGAAGCTCTTAGAATGATGCACTTGTCTCTGTAAACATGGATGTTTGCATAAGACAGAAGTGTTAATTCCTGAAGAATGCATGTTCAAACAGACCAAAGAAAGGATAAATCACACTGCTGGGGAAGAAGTCGTTCAGTTGGTTAGCTTCGTCTTCACTGCCTGTTTGTTTTAAGACTTCAAATGCACAAAGCTTGAAAAAAAAAATGCTTGTAATTTGATGAGGGGAGATTTTATTTACCTGTTAAGAACACAGACCCATGAATGTAAAACTATACTGAATAAAGTGATTTTTAAATGCAATTTCTGCCTCACACAAAGTTATTTTTTTATGGGAAGGAAAGATTTTTGTTCTTTATTGGAGCCATGTGATCGTTTTTAATAAGTATGTTTTGAGTGGCATCTTGTCAAAGTGGGTGCAAAATGTCCCCATGGCAAACACGACAAAACACAAACAAAGCAGCCCCCCCTGCTGGTTGATGTTTTTTTTTTTTTTGGTGTTGTATAGCTATATTTCACTACAGTAGACTTTTTACATTTTTAAATCATTTGATATCAGTGAGTTCCAAATAAGTTCTATGAAACGACTAACACTGCAATGAGATGAAACAGCAAAAGAGCAAACATGAGTAGAACCCGCTACTGGTAAATAATGGTCACTGGAGTTGAAAATCATGTTTTCTTATACAAAATATCAATAAATTAATTATCTTCATTGATTGAAATGATGAACAAATTACCAATTTATAAGACTGGTACAATCTTGTAAATTGCACCAAGATTCAATTTACAATGAAGATCGACCAAAAGAGATGGTAAAAGGTCCAAAATAACCCGACTTTACTGGAGCTACATGACATTATTGTCAGTGAAGAAGAAACAAATGTGTTTTATTTGTTTGCCGCACATTTTCCAAGCATAATTTCCGTTATTAATTTATGTTGTTCTCGGAAATACGGAACATGTTTCCTTGAAGACATTTACAGCTTTTTAGATTATAGTTTTGCAGACTTGTCAGATGTCTCCAGCAGGCATGCCTGTGGTTTATGTGGAGCCAGCTCTCCAAGATTTCCCCCCAAAAAAGAGAGAAAAACTTTGCCCCCTCCTTCACTTGTGATAATAGGTCTTAAAACCATCGGTGGCAGCTATTCTCCTTTGCTAGTGGGGTGAAAAAAAAAAAAGATCTTTTCTCTGACCCATTGGTCGGACGAAAAGTCGAGTGGCACCTCTTTTATGCAGATGCAAAACACACAATGGGGCAGCAGCACAATATCGGGGCACTTCATTCACCCTGTTCCTCTGTCACCCTTCACATGGAGTGGGGGAAGAGAGAAGACAGCTGTCCCAATAGAAGACGGAGGAGAAGAGCAATGTGAGAGAGTTCAGAGCCGTCGCCTGGCCATGCTCCTGCTGATGTTCCATGCACAGCTTCTCATTTGTTTTGGTTAACAGTTAGTTTAGCATACCAATACTTAGAGGTCTTCCTCAGTTTAACACATAAGTGATGAAATAGCATGCCTACTTTGTTGCACAAAGTTGTAGAAATAAATTTTTGAAAGGAATAAGCCACGTTTGCGCGCTGTGTCACAGTTTCTTGGTGTTTTCCTGTGAAAGAATCAGCTTCTGTTCCAATCTGGACATTAATAAGTGTAATTGATTTGGATTTTTTTTTTCAAATTAACTTTTGCTGACTCTATATATTTCTTTCAGAATGAGGATCATCGCTCACCCAAGTATAATTTTAAGTCAAATCAATCAGAGAGCAGGTCATACCGTCAGTTTCACTTCTAGTTTCAAGCATCCAGCATGTCGAGGTGAGCAAAGCATCCTATACTGCTATGTAGAAGTGGATGATTATGTAAATATTGGGTGTTTACTGTGATATTTGAGTCATGATTTTATAGTGCTGCAGCATTCGAGCAGTGGATTTGTTCTTATGTAATGCAGGCATAATCATTTTTGTGCTTAAAATGAACACATTCTTATATAAAAAATATTAAGCAAAAATGTTTGCAAAAGTTTATCACTGTAGGTTTTGTTGACAAGTCCCTGCTTGAAAATGTTGAGGTAGCACAAAGAGCTTTAAAAGAATTTCCACCATCAAGTGATTTGACTGTATTTAATATGTTTGAGTTATACACATTAAATGTGATGTATAATATTCAGAATCATAGCACCAACACAAGGCTTTTCTGTCTATTAATCTGTCAAAATCTCAAATAGTAGTCCAATATACATAGATCAAGTAGAGTTTATAATTTAATGGAAATCAAAATAAAATAAACAACAGACAAAGCTACAGTTGAAGTCTGTTGCACAGAAAACTCCCCTGAGTCGTGTCAACAGGATAAACTATTTGGTTACTGCATTACATGAGCTAATCCCAGCTGACTTTGTCTTTAAAATCTAAACATATGGTTTTGCTTAAAAAGCTTTAGCCCATTTATAAGCCCTCGCATTTAATAAAAAGAAAACAAATGACCAAATCTACCTAAAGCAAAGTGAGCTGAAAACCCCCCCCCAGTGGCCCACAGTAATTACAGGTTGGTGGGGGGATGGGGGGGTAGAGGGGTATTGAGGCTGAGAGGGGAGGGGGGGTCATGTTTTATAGAGGTGGGAAAGGTGGAGGAAGGGGCTGATTTATGAGGGAAACGTAGTGGAAGGGTTGGACGTTGGAGGGGGTTTAAGCCCCGTTGAATGATGATTCAGCGAAAGGATATCCAGCCAGCCAATCAGGTGGCTTTTGGTGGCTGTGCTGGACAGAGGTTGTCCTCCTCTGTTCGCCTCCCGCTGTCCAATTGAAGACAGAGTGCCTAACGAGCGAGAGAAGGAGCACAAAACAGAGCTGACAGGACGCATAACTTCATTTCCACGGTGCTCGGGCAGCTGTGTGGAGTAATCTGCCGTGGCAGTCTGATAAAACACGCCGTCGGAGACCCGGGGAGGAAGAAAGGGGCGACTCCAGCTGTGCCCAGGCACTTCTAAGTGCAGGGGGATTTCACTCACACACTCTCTCTAAAGGGAAAATGTCCCTGACCAATTTGCGCTCTCAAAATAAGAAGTAGTAGTTCCAGTAGAAGAACCACTAGTTCCATGTTGAAAAAAGAGAAAAGTTATTTTTTTTTTCCCCAAGAATTGCAATAATTTTGGGACAAGGGATAAGATAGTCCTTTAGTTTATCTCATTTTGCTTTTATAGTTACAAATTCCTTTACTGTTTTTAATGGTGTACAATTCACTATTTTTAACCTGAATGTTAACTTTGTCAATATTTAAAGATCTCAGCCACTTTAAAAACAAACAGTTGCAAATTTATTTGATTTATTTGTACATGGCATTAAGTCTCTGAAATGAATGCTGGACATGTCGAATATTTCTCTCCTATTTTACGGAGACAACTAAACTAAAACATAACATGATCTAATCTGGATTCTTAGATTTTTTTTTTTTTTTACTTCCAACTGAGCTTTTTGTCAATGTAAATATTAGTAAAAAGAGAAGTAGGCAGTCTATTCAGGGACAGAAGGTTCATTATTTTGTGCGCGCTCCTCTGTTGCGGCCTGGACAAAGAACAAAACTTTCTTAGACTAAGATAATGGCTTCAGGCTGGGTTGCTGTGCAGAGTGAATGGGATCTCCTTAGAGCTCAATAGGGTTCCAAACCTTTACTCCATTATACTGACATCCTAAAGGCCAGAGGCCATCAGCCAGCCCCCTCAGCTCCCCTCCCTGTAGTGGTTACTTAAGTATGTTTTCACCCCTCACATCTCACCACAACATCCACACGTGTTTTTGGGATTGTTGCCTTCTCTACCTTCGTGAAAACACCAGATGATGTGCTGGGAAGATATGAAGTTCAGCTTCATGCAGAAGTATTCACTTGTTGGATTTTCTTTATGGCTTTGTCTCGTCACAACAGCAAAGCTTCAAGCAAAGCTTGTGAAAAAAGGAGCAACAATCCAATCCATGTCAAGGCAATAGTAAGCAATAGTAAATTGCCTTCAAAATGCTTTACACTACACAAGACGCTGTAAACTGCGTTTTGTACACAAAATGCTTTAAGCAAGGACACAGCATCTTGTGTCTTTGCTTTAATCCTTTAACCCATGCCCAACCGTTACCTTGGAATAAATCGTACACCAGCACAAAGCCTTACTTAATGATGAAATGGGACAACAGCAATGGATTGTTTTTCGTTTTTCTTTTCACAAAAAAATCTAATCTGTTTAGTTTCATTTATTGAGGCCCAAGGTAATATTTTGTAAAACCAACTTTGTTAATTGCGTACCAACTTACCATATCCATAGACTGAAATTGTTAAGCTCAGATTGGACAGAGAGCATCTGTGAACAGTAGTGTTCAAGTTTTGACACAATTTCTCAATTGTACTTAAGTCTGGACTTTGACAGGGTCTTTTGGAGAAGGCCTTGCGTTGTGTGCTCTACTCTGAAACTGGACTCTTTTGGAAGTCCAGTTTCAAGTCCATTGCAGCATATAAGAGGTTTTCTTTCATCCATTTTCCCATCAACTGTGACCAACTTCAGTGTTCCTGCTAAAAGCCTTGGATATTGTTTTATAACACTGGTTTAAATTTCTCTGTCTTGAACCCGTCAGCTGTGTTCCTTGGTCTTCATAAGGCTGCTTTTGAACCAATGTGCTCTATAAAAAATATCTCAGACCAAAATAAAATGAATTTTGTGTAGTTATTTCTGAACAAATGCCACGTTTGCAGGACTGCATACATCTAAATACTGGCCTCTCACTTCTGCCAGACTTCATCTCTGCTTACCCTCCACGGTCAATGAAGGCAAGAGGATATCTGGTGATATATTCAGTATTTCTGGCAAATGACAAAATAAGATAAAACACCATCAAACAAAAATAATAAAAACTTAAAAGGTGTTAAGAAAAGCAAATGTGGCAGCCATTCATTATTAGACTACTGCAACTATAATAGTTAAAATGATTCAGGTTAAATCCTGCTGAAATACACCACCTGCTGGTCAAAAGTTATATTGCGTTCACTCTTAGAAGGTGAGGTATTATGGGTAATCCTCAAAGTGGCGAGGTAACGCGTATCTTATGTGTCTGACAAAGAAACGCGATTATTGTACTTACAAAGTATCACTATGGTTTTCAGTTATGAATATTATTGAACTATGTTTATTGCCGGTCACGACAGTTCTGGCGTTCTGTCGCTATTGTCGTGTTTTAGAAACATGTCGCGTGAAAACACGATGGGAAATTCCCACGCAGTAACGCTCCGGTTCCTCCGTGCAGAAGGAGCGCTTGTTTTACCGCCAGA